TTGATTGTGAATATATTTAGAAGTCCACATGACTTTTTGGATTATAGCTGAAATTCCAATAAATTTAGTGATTTATTTCTGCCATTAAAAAGAAGGTTTCTTTGGTGCAGGTTTAGAGTGGCATGGTAATAGAAGTCAGATCATGGATATTTTAGGCAGTAGGAAGGGAGGATAAACCCATTCTCTCGGTGACTGAATATTAGAGCGTTTCTTGGTTTGAAAGTCATTGTATTTGTGTTCAGTACTCATAAGGTCTTTTATTTCTCATAAATGGTTTGCCAAGCAAGATGGATCCAGTCTTTGCCCTCTGAGTCTATGATCTGGTTAGGGAGACAAACCAGACATTCCATAAGAATAGGTATGTTAGGTGATACCTGAATGGTGAGTAGAAGTTGGTGGAAGGATATAAGTGGAAAAGGATTATTGGGATGAGCTGTGTCATGTGAAGAGATCCTGAACTATAATCTATATCTATAATCTAGTATTTTCCTCGTAGATCTTGGACTGTAATTGATCCAGTTTAATGTGCTGTTGAAATTGATTCTGCAGTATATTGTTCTTATTTGAGAATCTGTTGTTTACTCACAAGAGAGCTTTGGCTGTAAGTTTCCTGGGTGAATCTGAGGAGTACAGTTATGGCTTTTCTGGCATCAGAATAATTGAGGTTCTAAAACCGTAATCAATTAATGATGTTTCCATAAGTGTAGGCATTTATAGCATCCCTGTTTAGGGACTTAGTATGATCTGTCAGTACCACACATTCAGAATATGTACAGTTAGTATAATGTTTTATTTATATTTTTATTTATTTATTTTAAAGATTTTTTTTTATTCATTTGAGACACAGAGATACAGGGAGAGAGAGAGAGCATGAGCAGGGGGAGAGGCAGAGGGAGAGGGAGAAGCAGGCTCCCCACTGAGTCAGGAGCCCTATGTGGGGCTCGGTCCCAGGACCCTGGGATGATCACCTGAGCCGAAGGCAGACGTCTAACCATGTATTTTTAAAAGCAAGCCCATGTGGTTTTACCCTGATGTATTAAAAGGAGAGTTCTGTTTAGAAGTTTACTTTCAAATATTCATAGTTAATACGCCTTTATGTCAACTTGTTACATCTCTAACCTCCTAAAGATGATTGTTGTGGAGAAGAAGAGGTGGCACAAGCTTTCTGTACCCCTTTACCTGGTTTCTTTTTTTTTGTTGTTTTTTTGGTGTCTGTACCACAAGAGCATTTCTCTTGTGTCCTTTCCATCTTCTCTTTCATACCTTCTTCTTTTTTTTTTCAGTTGAGCATTTGTTCATTTATTCTTTTCTTTTTTTAAATTTTATTATGTTAATCACCATACATTACATCATTAGTTTTGATGTAGTGTTCCATGATTCATTGTTTGCACATTACACCCAGTGCTCCATTCAATATGTGCGCTCCTTAATACCCATCACCGGGCTAACCCATCCCCCCACCCCACCCCCCACTCTAAAACCCTCAGTTTGTTTCTCAGAGTCCATAGTCTCTCATGGTTCGTCTCCCCCTCCAATTCCCCCCCTTCATTTTTCCCTTCCTGCTTTTTTTTTTTTTTTAAACACATAATGTATTATTTGTTTCAGAGGTACAGGTCTGTTATTCAACAGTCTTACACAATTCACAGCGCTCCCCATAGCACATACTCTCCCCAATGTCTTTCATACCTTCTTGACCAATAGGTCTCTGGGAAATCATGTTCTTCCTAACCAAGAGCCCCAAATTTGCATATCTTTATCCATGATTCAAAAAAATAAATGCTTTCCTTAGCATCTTTGTAGCCACCACATCTTCATTTGTTCATATCTTAATTTATCTTTCAAAGCTTCAGCTGATTATCAAACGAGATGTGAATGTCTTACCTGTGCTGTGAAGTTTGTTTACTGATCAGACTTTCATTCAAAAGTATCTGTTTTATCCCTTTATGTTAGGTACTGTACCAAGAATTGAAAGTTTGCAAGACACGGTCCCTAACTCACTCATCTCTAATAGTGATTTTTTTTTTTTTAAGATTTTATTTATTTATTAGAGAGAGAGCGAGAGAGGGAACACAAGCAGGGGGAGTGGGGGAGGGAGAAGCCGGCCTCCTGCTGAGCAGGGAGCCCGATGCGGGGCTCCATCCCAAGACCCTGGGATCATGACCTGAGCCGAAGGCAGACGCTTAATGACTGGGCCACCCAGGCGCCCCTCTAATGATGATTTTAATATTTTTTCTTGTAGTGTCCTTTGTTCTTACATGGGTTATCAGTAATTACTAACACTGGATAGGCTTGGATTAGTCTAGTTCTTTTCATCATTACTTCCTCAGGAAAACAGTATTTTCAGGAAGAAGGTATATTTCTGAAATTTTATTTTATACAGAGATTTGTCAAATATTGTTGATACTCATATCAGCTGTTCTATTCAAAGAGTCACCAAATAATGTTAAATTCTTATAGTACTTCTAAATGTTTGTTGGAAAATTAAGCTGCTTCTCCAGCTTTGATTTCACCTCCATGGGAAGAACTTTTTACCTGATGTATGGAACCAGTGTTCCTCTTCATCTTCTTCCTCCCCATTTATTCTTGTACTCACTAGTACGTTCACTTGGATTTCAGTTTTAGTACTGCCACCTTCAGAATTTTCCTTTGCTGGTTTCTTTCTTTCATCCTAATTTGGGGTTCATTTTCTTTAGCGTGTTACAGCAAAGGTTTTGAGCCCTTTTGCCCTGCTCTGAAGCAGGGCGTTAGTGTCTGCTTAGTAAGAACACGTGTGAGGTGAATTTGAAGTAATGGCTAAATAGCTAAGGAGTAGCACCCTGTCAGTTGAAAGTATAAAGGTATGAGTGAAAGAAGTAGATTTCAGAGACATTTGTATTCATAGTGTTGGTTGGAGCCATGTAAGAATAGCAAGCAAGGTTAAAAATGAGGTTAGGAGGAACACACTCACATTTAGGAAACAATAACCAAGAAAGAAGAAAGAGAAAGGTATAGTTAGGAACATGTAGGAGATAAAGAATTACAAAGGCATGAAAACCAAATGGCAGAATGTTAAGAAAAAAATTTTTTATTTTTTTTAAATAATCTGTGCCCAATGTGGGGCTTGAACTCATGACCCCAAGATCAAGAGTTGTATGCTCCACTGACTAAGCCAGCCAGGTGCCCCAAGAAAAAATTGTTTTTAAATCATTAAAATGCTATAATAGAGGACAGTTTTAATTAGTTTTAATATAAACAGATCATTGGAAACGCTGAGATGAAAAGTTTAAGCATAACAGGGTTGTTTCCGTTATCTCTTGTTGTGTTAAAAAACAAAACCCCCTAAAACTTAGAGGGTTAATATAAGCACTTATTTATGAATCTGCAATTTGAGCTGTGTTCAGCTGCATGGTTTTATTGGTCTTTTAGGATATTATTAAATAGTCCAGCCCTGTTTTTTATGGGTAGGAATCTGTAGTTAAATGTGGTAATTCCTGCAATGTCTCTGAAATTTGTCATTGAAATCAATAAACAGCACCAGCGGTGTGTTGGTGAACTGACTCTTCAGGGGCACAGCACATGATCTGTGGCATTTGCCATGGAGGGAATACTACCGTAATGATTGAGCTCAGGTTTTACTGATGTGGAGCCCCTGAACTTGGAGTTTGGAAGAGATGTGGACAGGCCACTCTCATCAGCTATTATGAGCCATCCCCAGATTCCAGACACTCTTGTAAAATACCAGTGTTCTCATTTCTTGATCTACAAAGAATGGGAGACAAGTTACAAAATAAACACGTAATAAAACAGGATTAAGTAAATGGGTGAAGAATTTTTTGTGAAAGAAATAAACGCGAAAATAAAAGAATAAATGCCAGTGTGAATGCTCTGAACAGTTGCTGAGATCAATAAGGATTTGGCTAAAACAAAGAGATGAAGTATTCAGTAATAGATAAAAACAGATTGGCTGCTCAGGAGGAACAAAAATTTTCCTGATAACAGAGAGATCAGTTATGCAGGGGAGAAGGATATTGCATCTTTAACAACATTCTTGCGGAAGTAGGATGATAATATTTGCATATTTCTTGAAATATATTTTTTCTTGAAATATTTTTTTTAATGCAGGGTGGGTGCTAACAGTGCCAAAACAGTTCTCGGGGGGGGGGGGAGTAGAATTGGCAATTTGGGATCTATAATAGAAAAATTTGAAGTGTTAAGGAGTTTTCATCCTATTGGAAAGATACCTATTATTATATTTAACCTACTTAAAAAGTTAAGTACACCTGTATCACTGAGTTTGCAGGTAAGGAAGCTAACAAAATATTCACAAGATTGTAAATATGGGATAATTAGGGATTCTAGCAAGACAGTAGTTGTGGATTTGTTTATAAAGAAAATCCTTATATGAGAGAGTTTGTATAAAAAGAAGTAGCAGGATTTATTAATGGGCTACTTTTGAGAGCAAGTCAGAATGACTCCTTGCAGATAGCTACTATAAGCCTAGGGAACGGATATGATACACTATGAAAACTTTACCAGTATTCTTTTTGATTTCTAGTGGTGATTCATCTTTCTCTCTTGATTGTGTGTGTTGTGTGTGTGTGTGTGTGTGAGTGATTCTTGAACCAGTCCTTTGCCAACCTCATGAAGATTGGAATAGGTGCTTAAAGTGATGAGTAAGACCTGATCCTTATTTTCAATTTTTGGTGTCTTATTATATAATCCTTTTCTCATTTCCTTTCTGCTCGTGTTATCTATGGTTAGCCTAATCTTAACACTTCATTGTTGTTGGACCCAGTTAGCTTCTAATCTTAAAAAACAGAAATTTTCTCCTATTCTGTTACTACTCTTTAGTGTTGGTTGCTCAGGCATCCCAATTTGAAGGCAGGGTAGGAAAGAATTTAGGGTCACCAGCAAATGCTCAGAAGTTCCTGTTTTCATCACTCCTACTTCTGGGTTCTTCTCTTGTCATTCCTGGGCACAGAGGTGCTGGTGTTAATTCCTCCTTGCCCACCTTTCCCTAGAGTCCATCCGTGCTGGTGCCTCCTACAAACGGCAGAATGAAGGAAATCCAGAAAGAGGTGAGTTTTGAGTTAGATTTTGATTTGGGATTGTGAAGGGGTGGGGGACTTGAATTGATAGAGGTTACAGAAATGGGAAAAGTGTATAACTGCCCAATTAGTCTTTAGTTGGAACTAGAGTTTAATGGTAGTAGATACAGATAGTAGGATTGTGAATTGCTTGTCTGGTCAGGAATAGCCACCTCAAAGGAGATTGAGATTTGTAGAATAAACAAATCATTGACAGGACCGGACAACAGTAAGATCAGGGTATTTCTTTTCACCTTTTCTGTGGTCTTTCCGCTGCCATCTGTAGCATCCTTTTTCTTTATCCTTTGCTTCTTGCCTGTCCCTGCCCTTCATGCAACAGGTATATATGAATATATGTGGATATATGATATACCACCTGCTCTATCCTTCAGGATTCTTTTGCTTCTGCACACTGAGAAATCTGCTTAAATTAGCCCTAATGCAGCTAAAATCAGGAAAGATCCTAAGACTACAGGAAAGATCCTATTATACTTGACAATACCTGTAGTGCTGATGTGTTTGTAAGATTTTGCTAAGTAAGAGATTAACAGCTGCTTGTTCTGTGTCTAGCTGCTATGTGTCAGAATTGAGCCTATAATTATGCCTTTAATTAGCATAGTTTGATGTGCTGATTGGTTGAGCTCCTCACCTTCTTTCAAGGAATTGCTTATCTGAATAGAATGGGGAGGTCACTGTATCCTAAAGGTAGAAAAATAATTTATCTTTTCACCTAATTTTTGAGTATTTATTCTTTTCTTAAAGGACTTGAGCAGGGTAGGCCCTGGGTATTCAGAAATAAGCTATGATACTTGCACCTCTAGGAGCTTCTGGTGCAGTGGAATAGACTGACACTGTCACAGTATGATGAAGAATTTGCCATATGTAATAGAAATAAAGTGGGAATGATGAAATCATGTTCTTAGTCATTTTGGGATGTAGTGTTGGTTGGTATCTTTTGATTTTTAAGGTCTACAAGAACTTTTAAACCACTTAGTGTGAAAGGCTCTTAATGCCACAAGTTAAAAGATTCCTAGGGTTATGATTTTTTATGAGACTGTTGGAGTTTCCGAGGTAGAATACTGTGCCTAGAGCAGGAGTTCTTATCCCTGGTACTGTTGACAATTGAGGTTAGATAATTCTTTGTTGTGGGAGGCTGTCCTGTGCATTTGTAGGGTGTTTTAGCAGCATCCCTAGCCTCGACTTACTGTGTGCCAAGGGCACTCTCCCACTTGTGACAATGGAAAATATCTTCACACATTACTTAATACCCGCTGTCCCTCGGGAGGTGGTGAGGGGAGCGTCTCCAGAAAGGCTTTCCAGGGCTGCAGGACATTGGATAGAGCTGATATTCACTACTGCCCTACGTGGTCAGGGACCTTGAGGCTCTAGGCTCCTACTTGGCAGTCTTGACCATAGCAGGAAGAGCTTAAGAGGCTTTTTGACTGAAGCTGGTTTTGCTTCAGTTTCAAGGTCATTTGTGTCTGCTTTTGCCCTTGACTGCTTTCTTGGCCGTAACTGACTGGCTAGTCTTGACCACCTTCTGTGTCAATCCAAACTTGGTGCCACCTTCTCCTTTTCTCTGTAATTTAATTTTGTCAGGTTTTTGTTTTTTTGATTTTTGTTTTTGTTTTTGTTTTTTAGCAATTAAGAGCAGAGAATTTATATTTGACACATACAGATAATTTAATGAAATATTTTTCTGTCAGTAATAGCTCACAGTTATTGTTATGATTATATTTAACTAAAACAATATTCTATGTTGAACTGACTAATGTTTAAATCTATTTTCTGGCTTAAGTTTCTATAAAAACGGTGGTGTATATATATATAGCACTACATTAGTGTCTGTAGTGACTAAAGATAAAGGTTAGTGACTATCTCACACAGATTTATTTTTAACCATTTAACAAATGGGTACTTATTCATACCAGGCATTAGGATAGTGCTCTAAATTACAGTTTTCTAGTTTTTATTTTTATTTTTTAAACTAAATATTTCAGGAGTATCTGCTAGATTTCCTACATGCCCCTCACTTTGAGCTATTGTTTAATTAGCTAGTTTTCTTTGTGGTATTTATATAACAACTACTTTTTTATTGTTTATTGATAAATTAAAAGTTAGCTTTTAGGAACTTGGAGGAGGAAGCATTTATGATTTTAGTCTTTTCCTGTTCTTGAGGTCTTCTCAGTCGTTCTGTGTTTGCTAACTAGCATTAATGTGGCCTGGATTGCCATATATGGTGTCCACTGGTACTAGGTTAGTTGAAAATTTTTATGGTACCTTGCCTCTGAGAGAGGTAGGTTTAGATATTAAAGGATTTAATTTAATAATGAAGACTTCAGTACTAAAATAAGTATATGACACCCCCCTCATTTATTTAATTACAAAATCACTCTAATTGGAAACAAATGAGCTAGAAAATTGCATTTTATATTTTCTTGTATAGGTAAAGAGAGACCTGTTCAGTCTTTGAAAACATCAAGAGACACTTCACCCTCAAGTTCTTCAGCAGTTCCTCCGTCAAAGGTTTGTTATATCTATAAAATTAATTTAAAGAGGAATCACAAAGTAAAGGAGGTGGTCTGTGTGGTACAGATGCTTTTATTCTTTACTGTTAAACCTAATGAGGGTAATTTGCTGCATTTAAAAACTTGAATCATGAGGTGCCTGGGTGGCTCAGTCGGTAAAGCATCCAACTCACGATTTTAGCTCAGGTCATGATCTCATGGGTTGTGAGATCGAGCCCTGAGTAGGGCTCTGCGCTCAGGGGGGAGTCAGCTTGAAGATTCTCTCCCTCTGCCCCTCCCCCCCACTCATGCGCGTGTGCTCTCTCTCAAATAAATAAATCTTTTTGGGCGCCTGGGTGGCTCAGTTGGTTAAGCGACTGCCTTCGGCTCAGGTCATGATCCTGGAGTCCCGGGATCGACTCCCACATTGGGCTCCCTGCTCGGCAGGGAGTCTGCTTCTCCCTCTGACCCTCCCCACTCTCATGTGCTCTCTCTCATTCTCTCTCTCTCAAATAAATAAATAAAATCTTTAAAAAAAAATAAATAAAATAAATAAATAAATCTTTTAAAAAAACCAAGACTGGGGGAGGAGTCCAAGATGGCAGAGGAGTAGGAGTCCTTAGTTTTGTCTGGTCCCAGGAATTCAGCCAGATAGCTATCAAATCATTCTAAACACTTGCGAGCTCAACCAGAGATCTAAGAAAAGAATAGCTGCAACTCTACAAATAGAAAAGCAGCCGCTTTCTGCAAGGTAGAAGGAGCGGAGAAGTGACTCCGAGGTGATATATGGGGAGATAAACCACGGAGGGAAGGAGCCTCCATAAGCCAGCACCAGAAAGTGATAGAGCAGTGGAGCACAGAATCGAAACTTCTAGAAGTCTGCTCCAGTGAGAGATGTCCCTGCCTGAAAGGCACTAAGGTGGTGAAGCAGGACAGAATTCTAGCGGGGACAGTGTGGTTTCAGGATGGCCAGGGTCATAATAAGACTGGGAGTGTCTGAGTGTGGCAGAGCTCCCAGGCATCAGAGCGGTGAAGCCCGCTGCAGTCAGTGAGCCCAGGAGTGGGCTCTCAGCTCTGAGTTGCCATAAACCATGAACTGTGGCACAGTCAGGTGACTGCTGTCCGAGCAGGGGCCCAGCGAGTAGCAGAACTGGCAAGAACCCCCTTCCTTCCCTGGGAGGAGTGGCATCGGTGGGCACTGCAGGAGTCTGCAAGCTTTGGAGACTTGAAACGGGGTCTCATGCCTGAGATAGAAATGCTAGGTCACAGGCCGGGTGAGCAAGGAGTGTGGACAGAATCCAGGGAGACAGGAGTGACTGACTGCTTTTCCTTGAGGCCTCACTGAGGAGTGGGGCTCCAAGCTTTTGGCTCTGGAGCCGGAGATTGGGAGGCTGCCATTTTCATTCTCATCCTCTAAAGCTGCACGGAAAGCCTTCAGGGAATAAAAGCTACATAGGGCAATCCAGAGCTACTTACTTAGTCTGGCCCCCTGTCAAGGGTGGTGCAGTTCCACCCTGGGCAAAGACACCTGAGGATCAGGGCAACAGGCCCCACCCCCAGAAGATCAGCAAGAATATCCGGCTAAGACCAAGTTTATTGATCACACAGAACTGCAAAACTCCAGCGCTAGGGGAAAATAGTATATAGAATTCATGGTTTTTTTCCCATGGTTCTTTAGTCTTTCAATTATATATATTTTTTTCTCTTTCCTTTTTCAACTCATTTCCTATTTTATCAACCCTTTTTTAGAAGTCTTTTTTAATTTTCATTTTCACAGTTACATTCTATCCTTTCATTGTCTTTAATTTTATTTTTGTCTATACATAAGTTTTTCTTTCTTTACAATTTTGGGATGCAGTTTATTCTAACAAACAGACCAAATGTCTGATCATACTCTTTCCTTTTTTCTTCTTTTTTTTTTCTGTTAAAATATTTAAAAATTTTCATCTTTACAGTGAAATTTTATTCTTTCAATGTGTTTATTTTCGTGTGTGTGTATGTGTGTGTGTGTGTGTGTGTGTATATATATATACACACACATACATGTTTTCTTTACAATTTTGGGATGTACTTTCTTCTAACAAACAGACTAAAATATACCCAGGATATAGTGTATTGCTCTGTTCTGTTCACCTGTCTATGTTCCTTCTTCTTTTTTGTTTTTTGTCTTTTAATTTTCATTTGTACAGTTACATTCTATTTTTTCATCGTATTTAATTTTATTTTTATACATAGGTAAGTTTTTCTTTCTTTACAATTTTTGGATCTAGTTTTCTTTTATTTATTTATTTTTTAAGGTTTAATTTATTTGAGAGAGAGAGCACAGAGGAGAGGGAGAAGCAGGCTCCCTGCTGAGCAGGGAGCTCGACACAGGGCTTGATTCCAGGAGTCTGGGATCATGACCTGAGTCAAAGGCAGCCGCTTAACCAACTGAGCCACCCAGGTGCCCTGAGGGATCTAGTTTTCTAACAGAAATACACACAGGATCTAGTGTATTGCTCTGTTCTGTTCACCTGTCTGATTATATTCTCTTCCCCCCCCCCCCATTTTGGGTCTCTTCTGAATTGTTTAGTATATATTTCTCTGGGGTTGTTGTTGCCATTTTAGTATTTTGTTCTCTCATTCATATATTCTTCTCTGGCAAGAATGATGACAGAAAAACTCATTCAAAAAAGAGAACAAGAGGCAGTACTGACTGCCAGGGACCTAATCAGTATGGATATAAGTAAGATGTTAGAACTAGAGTTCAGAATAATGATTATTAAGATACTAGCTGGGCTTGAGTAGAGCATAGAGTTCAGAATAATGATTATTAAGATACTAGCTGGGCTTGAGTAGAGCATAGAGAACACTAGAGAATCCCTTTCTAGAGAAATAAAAGAACTAAAATCTAATCAAGTCAAAATCAAAAAAGCTATTGAGATGCAATAAAAAGTGGAGGCTCTAACTACTAGGATAAATGAGGCAGAAGAGAGAATCAGTGATATAGAAGACCAAATGATGGAGAATAAAGAAGCTGAGAAAAAGAGAGGTAACAACTACAGGATCATGAGGGGAGAATTCGAGAGATAAGTGATGCCATAAAGCAAAACAATATTAGAATAATTGGGATCCCAGAAGAAGAGGAAAGAGAGAGAGAGGAGGGTGGGGCAGAAGGTATATTGGAGCAAATTATAGCAGAGAACCTCCGTAATATGGGGAAAGAAACAGGCATTCAAGTCCAGGAGGCAGAGAGAAACCCCACCCCCAAATTAATAAAAATAGGTCAACATCTTGACATATAATGGTGAAACTTGCAAATCTCAGAGACAAGGAGAAAATCCTGAAAGCAGCTTGGGACAAGAGGTCCATAACCTACAAGAGTAGAAACATTAGACTGGCAGCAGACCTATCCACAGAGACCTGGCAGGCCAGAAAGGACTGGCATGATGTATTCAGGGTGCTAAAGAGAAAAATACACAACCAATGTTACTTTATCCATCAAGACTGTCATTCAGAATAGAAAGAAAGATAAAAAAACTTCCAGGACAAACAGAAACTAAAAGAATTTGTGATCGCTAAACCAGCCCTGCAAGGGCAGCCCTGCAGCCCTGCAAATATTAAAGGGGATCCTTTAAGTGGAGAGCTTAAAAGTAACATAGACCAGAAAGGAACAGAGACAATTTACAGGAACAGTGACTTTACAGGTAATACAGTGGCACTAAATTCATATCTTTAAATAGTTACTCTGAATGTAAATGGGTTAATGCCCCAATCAAAAGGCACAGGGTATCAGATTAGATAAAAAAAGTAAGAACCATCGATAATGCTGTCTGCAAGAGACCCATTTTAGACCCAAAGACACCTCCAGATTGAAAGTGAGGGAGTGGAAAGCCATTTATCATGCTAATGGACGTGAAAAGAAAGCTAGGGTAGCAATCCTTATATCAGACAAATTAGATTTTAAACCAAAGACTATAATACGAGATGAAGAAAGACACTGTATCATAATTAAAGGGTCTATCCAACAAGAAGATCTAACAATTATAAATATTTATGCCCCTAACATGGGAGCAGCCAATTATATAAACCAGTTTGTAACAAAATTAAAGAAACACATTGATAATAATACAATAATAGTAGGGGACTTCAATACTCCACTCACAGCAGTGGACAGATCATCTAAGCAGAAGTTCAACAAGGAAACAAGGGCTTTGAATGGCACACTGAACCAGCTTGACTTCACAGATGTATTCAGAGCATTCTGTCCTAAAGGAGCAGAATACACATTCTTCTCGAGTGCATGTGGAACGTTCTCCAGAATAGTTCACATACTGGGTCACAAATCAGGTCTCAACTGGTACCAAAAGCTTGGGATCATTCCCTGCATATTTTTAGACCACAATGCTTTGAAACTTGAACTCAATCACAAGAGGAAATTTGGAAAGAACTCAAATACATGGAAGCTAGAGAGCATCCTACTAAAGAATGAATGGGTCAACCAGGAAATTAAGGAATTAAATTCATGGAAACAAATGAAAATGAAAGCACAACTGTTCAAAACTTTTGGGATGCAGCAAAGGTGGTCCTAAAAGGGAAGTACATACCAATACAAGCCTTTCTCAGGAAACAACATAGGGCTCAAATATACAACCTAACCTTACACTTAAAGGAGCTGGAGAACAGCAAATAAAGCCTAAACCCAGTAGAAGAGAAATAATAAAGATCAGAGCAGAAATCAATGAAATAGAAACCAAGAGAACAGTAGAACAGATCAGCAAAAGTAGGAGCGAGTTCTTTGAAAGAATTAATAAGGTTGATAAGCCCCTGGCCAGACATATCAAAAAGAAAAGAGAAAGGACTCAAATAAATAAATCATGAATGAAGGCGGAGAGATCACAACCAACACCAAGGAAACAAAAACAACTTTAAGAGCATATTATGAGCAAGTATATGTCAACAAATTAGGAATCTGGAAGAAATGGATGCATTCCTGGAGACATATAAACTACCAAAATTGAAACAGGAAGAAACAGAAAA